ATGGTGTACGGTTCACAGGCTGGGCATGTACAGCACGCTCAAATCGTCAAAGATTTCAAGAAACGGGTCAGCGATGGTCCTGACCACTATTTACAAAATCCAACGATTTATTTAGATAAAACTCCTTGTGCAGGGGTAAATGAAGATACTGATCTCGACATCCACTTGTGACGCCGGCGCCATTTGGCGCTTGCACGGCTTCCGAGTAGAATATACCTACGGGTACACAACGATAAATATTGTTGTTTGTTCTCCGGCGTTTTCTGCCTTTAATGGCCTGCAACACCCCGAGTAGAGGCTATCTCACAGCTCACAACGAATTCAGTGATAGAAATCGCTTTTGTTCCCTGGACGGAATGTTCGATTGTTTTTGCGCACTCTGTTCCAAAAGAAACCGAAGACAACAGAAAGAATCTGTTCCCATGTTTGACTCTCAATAACCCTGGCATTTTCATGATGTAATTAGTTCTTGCTTAACTCCATCGTAATGATTCTGACCAGCAACCCAATGTTCAGCCTTCCTCCGCAACCTAGAAGCGCTCTAAAAATGATGTGCTTCTCTAGGGTCCACGTTTGGACCCCTACTGCAAGAAACAATCCGTTTCTAGGAAGCACTCCATGATCTCGAAGGTCCCCTTCATAGCGTTCGTTGATGAGTGAAGATTTCCAGATGATTTGCTCTATTTCCTCTTACATCTTTTACTACCTATCTGCATGGCGAAGGTTTGCTTCTCGGATTCTTCCTGTCCATCAGGAATGCGGTGTACTCCAGCTACGACTGGCTACAGTATTTGCACGAAATTTGGTAAAGATGTCGAGGTAGTTCACAGTTCCCATTAAAAAGATATTACAACTTGTTATAATTTAAATGTATAAGACTATAAGTGGAGATCTTTATAAACTCGTTCGAACACCATAAGAATGATTTTTGCAGCAGAAGTACCCTAGTCCACCCTCGTTCTACTGCAATACCAACCGAGACTGTGCTCGGACACAGGTATGCGTGCGTCTACATGGAACGCTGGGAAATTGTTTGCGTTTAGAAGGTAAGTGTTCGGAAGTATTCTTGCCTTTGATTAGTAATAAATCCACACAAGATATAGGAACTACTGGTGATTTTAACAGCTTCACTCTTGGAAAATCTCTGTATGTCAGAGATGTCAGAGAAAATGAAAATTTGAAGGCAAGTTGCACGATAAATCCGGCCTTAGAAATATACGTCCAGCAGAACAGAATTCGGAGCCTTCGAGCAGACGCTCAGTGGTGCCTCCGCTAGGAAAGGTACCCTCATAGCGCCCTATCAAGCTGCAACAAACTGACCCGGACGCCCACCGCGCCAGCGCGCCCACAAATGTCAGACTGAAACAGAAGTTAATTTTGAACATCAGGGCAGGATTACTGCTGTCATGCTTACCTGCCTTGTCCAGTACTGTCCTGGAATACCTCACTTCTCTTAGTTTTTCAGCTGGCAGTGAAGGACTGCCATGCAATCGGAACTCAGACTGCAACGGCGGTTTGCAATGCGTTGACTACCATGGCCGATGGATGTGTTTGGTAAAATCAGACTTGAAAAGACCAATATGTTTACCAGTTACTAATACCAGAAGCCTTACGATCTCCAGGAAATTGGTGACACGGTGGAATGCTCAGCAACGATCGCTTGTCCTAGTGAAAAGAAGTGCATCTATAGTGAATCGAAGAAGAAAAACATTTGCGTTGAGGCGATGGAAGTTTCACAGCCACAAGGTATCTGAAAATTGAATATTTTACGAGAAGCAAGAATCGAACTCCATCGCAACCTATACATAGAACTGGAAGAAGAGCTCAGCCCTTTGGCAGCTCTGATGGCTAGCAGAGACGAAATAAACTCCGTTGATTCAATGAAGGATGATGAAGATAGCAATGCTTCGAAAGGTTGGTTCATATCTGTAAAAATTGGAAATCGAGTTAACTATTGGCTGCATTTTCATGGGGCCCTTTCCAAAAGGAATAAAGAAGGCTCAATATTAGTTTTGTCGGGAAGTTTTCCTTGTGTTGGTAGCCTTCTCCAGATACAAAATGCCCACTATTACAGCAGAGCAGCTCATCCTATTCCTAGTCAGGGTACTGCATCGTTGTGCGACCCCATAGGGGTCGTACTTGGCCGCTGGGGAGGGAGGTCGTAATTCTAAGGATCTCGCTCCGCCCCGCGCACTATGGATTTGACATTTCAGTTGATAGTGGGAGTGGAGCTGTGGAAGTCAAGATGTTAAAATGAAAACTATTATGAGTGATTCTTTCACAGATTCAACTGCTCCATTTAACAGCCCTCTTTTCATGCGAAATCCCCAGAAAGGGGATCGTACTTGGCCGCGGGGGACGTGGGGAGTATCGCAAATGTAGGCTCGCTAAGCATCAAACAGTACAAAAGTGTCATTGCTAAGTTTGATGGAAGGAACGGAAGCTGCAGAAGACTCAGATGTAAATAGGACTACAAATAATAAAATTATTGAATAAATAGAATAAATAAATATCAATGAATAGCATGAAATCGTAAGTACGTAGATGACTAAATAATACGTCTCAAACAGATTCGTGCGTATTGTCCTTCCCAAACCCTAAACAAACATCTGCTTGTATGGACAAAAGCACCTGTGATCAGAAGCCTACACCTTTCCACCACCCCTGCGTAGGAGCGTAATGCACGGCGCACACTCGACCAAAT